ATATATTTTTTTTTTTTTTTTTTTTTTTTTTAACCACTTAAGAATAAACCCGAAATATGGGTATAGACCTGTTACCATTTTTACAAGCAAAATTTAGCAAATGAGTTACAGCTAGCAGTGAACCATAGCATTCCCAATTACTACACTCTTTACATTCATCAATGAAATTTTATTTTTAGTTTCTCTCCCGTCTGGATGTTTTTAGCAAAACTGTAAATGAGAACACAAATTTTTATTTTTATTTTTTCTCCACCCTCCTTAAGATCTTTGGAAAAATATGTTCGCGAAACAAGGTATAAAGAGAGTCTCGCCTAACGCACTGTTATTATATAATTGTATGTTTGATCAATTAAACCTCAATATAGTATTCTTTTTCAAATGACTTTTTGCATGAACAAATAAAGTATATTTAAATCAATTATTAATCTAAATATGTCCAAAATGCAGTAATAAGTTAACATGTATTATAAGTTGTATTAGGCCAAATAAAAAAAAAACCTGAAATAAAACCATATTGGCCTCATTCACTATGGTTTTGTATAAAGCGAGTGAACAAATCTGTATTTGAATTGCCAATGTGGTCAGCAGATGCTGTTACTGAAGGAACTTTGTGAGCAACTAGATGTTATCCTTAATCCCGTAAAAATCAGATTACTGAAAGAGTGAATAAATACTCTGACGCTTAGGTTGGATAATTATATCTTTATATGGATATTTTTCCCCATTCACTTTTTATTTACCCTAAATCCTCAAATACCGTAAGCTCTGCACCAAACATGATTTTTCCACATAGCACTGCTCTCGAATAAGTGCTGCGGTGCTCATTCCAGAGTACGTATTACCCTGTGTGTAAAGAAACACTTTGAGAAACAGGATTTTAAATACAATGTATACAGTGTTCAAATAAATAAATAAACACGATGAACACAAACATATCTTTGTAAATGTTTATTTACAATGATGTAGGGCCTATGATAGGCCTACCAAACTGTGGGAATATGTGAGATAGGTCACATGGAAACGGCCATGGAAAGTGCCCCACCAATATATTTAATAAGCACCGCTCTTGAATAAGTGCCACACTGAAGCCTCCAAAAAATTTTTTTAAGGGCTACTGCGCTTGTTTGAAGATATATGCAGTATATGATGTACAGTATTTAAATTATGTTTTATTATTGTTTACATTTTATTGTTTCGTCAGATCGTCTGTTGGTTCCCAATATGCTAAGAATCGCTGCATAATTTACACTGTTCTTGGACTTATTTTCCTTGGAGCTGGTATTGGAGTTACTGTAAGTAGACACCATAATTATTCATTGTTTATTTATTCATTGGTGCATTGTAACTGTTGGCATTGTTATAATAATGTTATTCATTTATTCATTCAATTATGTATCATGTGTAAAATTGTAAAAGAGACAGTATATAAACATTTCACAAATTTATAAATTGATAGATTCATTGATCCATTAATTTATTCATAAAATTATTATTATTATTATTATTATGATACTATAGTATAACACAAAACAATAACTATAATAATGGTAGACAAACATTACACAGGTATATCATCACAGTGAGCTAAATCACCATTCAATGGAGCCTATTTAGGCCTTATAATAGGAAAAATGCATGTATTAATAAATATACTATATAAATAACATTTTTAGATCTTAATATTTCTAAAATAATATATACAGATTATAAATTTATAAATTCGGGGTTTTTTTTGCACACGAACCTAAAAAAAGCACCCACTAATTGAAAAATTAGTGAACTGTGGTCCACTGTGTGATAGGCAAATAATTGGGGGGTGTGCCCAGTCCATAGGTGCATGATGATATCATAACACTCAAATGTGGGCATGTCACATTTATTTGTCGCATAAATTTGACAGTGCAATCGGAGCTGAAAAGCATAAACAGTTTGAATTTGCAGGATATGGGTTAATTTCTGGGAGGTTATTGCTTCCTTGCGGAAGTCCGGGGAATGCGCTAATTTCCAGTAGACTCCTGTGACCTGTGGTACACTTTTGACTCCTGCCAATTATAAACCAAATTTAAACATTTATATTAATTTTTTTTATTCATAGATTGGAACATATGCTGTAGCCGAAAACTCAGGCGGCATATATTTCCTGTGGATCGGTAATTGCTCTTCATTAATTTATTATTTTAAAAAACTTCTTTCTCTTAAGACATAATGTAATACTTTAGATGATGTAAAATTTGTATAAATCTATTTTAATACACAAATTAACAATAAACTTAATGTTGTATGCAATGTAGTACTATAGTATTAATGCATAATCCAAGTATCGGAATGTACGCCAAAAAATTTCTTTCTCTTAAGACATAATGTAATACTTTAGATGATGTAAAATTTGTATAAATCTATTTTAATACACAAATTAACAATAAACTTAGTGTTGTATGCAATGTAGTACAATAGTATTAATACATAATCCAAGTATCGAAATGCACGCCATCGTGTCAGGATTCAATATTTCGACAACAATTATGTCATCAGGAGTGTAGAACTAATGTCCATGTCTTTATTGTTCTTAGCAGAGGAAGCTTATTCTTGATACATTAATCTTTTCCTTCACTCACAATAATGTTTCAATTACTGACTTAATTTATTAACACACTGGTAGTAGTATCACTTTATAGACTTACAATTATTTAATACACAAGCTTTTGACAACAGTCTGACTTAATCAGGTGTAATGACTTAATATATTTATATAACTTTTTTTTAAAGGTGCCTTTGTTATTGGAATCCTGAATTTGATCCGAGCACTATATTATGGAACGATGAAGATAAGCTATATAGAATAAATGCATAGAGGCCTGCACAGTGAGTTGGATTAAACAATGGAGTGTTTTAATGTGACTGCATTGAATAGGACTCCAGCTAAGTAAAACTGACACTGAGGCATACAGAACTGGTATACTTACCAACTAAAAATGTTTTTTTCCCCTGATTCACAAATTCATCATTTTTAGTGAAAATGTATTTTTATATTTTTAAACTACTGTTAATCATTCCTTTGCTCTGCAGATGTGTAATATGATAATTAATCAATTACATCATACAGTACACAGAATCAAATGATATCTATGAAATGTGCGATATTTACATATGTATGTACACAAATATATAAGCATTCATGAAATTACGTCCTATAAATCATCATTTCTGTATGCTTTTAATTTTGTTTCAGATTATAAATTTTAATTTGCATATAAGAAAGTAGATATATTTTTCAGAACTCATAAATTATACACGGATCATAGTAAATACTTTTTGAACTTTAAAAAGAATTTACTTATTTCTGTTTTATGTTTATATTCATTTTGATGACTTCATTCTAACTATTATAAAGTTATTGTGGTTGCTTACTGTATGTTGACATGCATGCTCCTTAAGGTCAGCATACATGCTCCTTTAGGTTAGCATATATCCTCCTGTATGTCAGCATACATGCTCCTGTAGGGCAGCATACATGCCCCTGTAGGTCAGCATACATGCTCTTTTAGCTCAGCATACATGCTCAGTAATCCATATTTGACAAAATCATATTTGAAGTAGATTTAAAATAATTTAATATATGGAAAAGGGAGCTTATAAAATACAAACATGTATAATCTCCAAATAGGTTTACAAATAAATATATAAAAATTAAATATAATATTCTAAAATTCTTTATAACTTGTATACAGTATGAATTATTATTACTCATTACTCCCTTTCCCCTACATAATGAACTTTTCCGGAGTGTCAATCAAACTTAACAACTGACCAATGAAGATGGTACAAGCTTGTTTCACAAACACAAATTCATGTAATTAATCTTTGTGGGACCTTAGCAACAATATCCAAGGGGCGGTGCTTAGCGGAAAGGTCCATTCTTCAGGATATTTTTGATCCTGGTAAAATTTGTACATATTGTTACTAAGATGAATTACTTAATTAGGGCGTTAGCAATTGTAAGTAAGAAATATAAAAGAAGGCATGTTGGGTGAATATAAAATCAACCCAATTACAATAGGCAAAATGGCATAATACAGTTAGCTGGCATAATGCATAAAGCTTAATGCATTTTCCTGGTCACAGCCAATACCCACCTCCCTGGTGGAGTAGTCCATAATGTCGCAGGTAGAGTTAGTGTACCATTTACCCACTTATACTCCTAGGTAGAGAGAGACAACATGGACACAAACAACCAGCCTCGGAATCGAACCACTGCTCTTTTAATAAGAAGACCAATACCTTACTTCTGCCCCACATGCTTCCAATATGCTATCTATCATAAGGCATACTTGCACCTGATTCACATGAACAAAAATGTTACATGTATCCTGTGCTAGGGAAAAATTTATCACAGGGCCCCTTTTACATTGTGTCCATGTGAATGCTCATCTGAGTAAAGCCCTGTTCACACTATCAAATTTTATTTGACAAAAAACATGTGGCATGCCTAAATATGGTCATGATGACATCACATCGTGACCAAATATTGGCACATCATGACTATATATGGGCATACAACAGTTGTTTGTCAAATATAATTTGAGAGTCTGGAAAGGGCTAGCATTCGTCATATTTAAAACTCATGTAAGGCAAATGGACATTGCAGAGGGTTGTAACAAACACTCTTGAGATATTAAGCATAGGTCTGTGTGCATGGTAATGAGGCACAGGTTTAAGCCGGTTTTACACTAAGTGAATTTATTCACACGAATCGAAAGCGTTGGTTCATGAGCATGTGCATTCACATTTCTATCAGAGTTATTCGCTTCCGCGAAATCAGTAGTTTAAACTGTTTCTACTTTTTGCGAAGTGAATAAATGTGCAACCAATCAGAACTCGGGAAGCAAACTGACACTTTTGATACGCACGAATAAATTTGCCTAGTGTAAAACCGGTTTTATCTTAATGCTGCATCATGTACATCTTGTAAATTGTACCAATTTTAAGCATGGTATATTTTTGTCTCATGTGGAAACGACGGTATTTCGGTAGGAATATATTTAGCATGTGTCCAGTGTAACATTATATCTTGTGTAAACCAGGTATTCGGTGCACATACTAGGGATATGCATATATTGTAGATAAATGTGTCGGCAATTTTTTTGAAACATACCAAACATGATATTAAAACAATGTTTGTATATTCTCTAATGTTTGGCGTATACTGTTTTTTTTTTAAGCAAAATTGTTAAGAAATGATGCAAATTATATTGTTAATCATGTAAGCGTAGTGTCCGTTATATGTCTGTTAATGTACATACATTTTCTAAGGCCTACTGAAATTTAGAATTTTTTAACTACATTCATAGTTTTGGTTTTTGACATTCTAAATGAGAGAAAAAGATAGAAAAACAAAATGGTAGTTTGTCATCCATGAACAAGGTGTTGAAGAAAAAATAATTTTGCAGTGAGTTCTAAAAAATTCTACGTATTTATAGAGGTCACAGTCAAATTTTAGTTTACAGTTTAAAATGATGAGAAACTATTACTGGAAGCACGGTATTATGTAAATAATCGTGAGAATAATTACGTCATGAATGTTTAAGATTGATTTAAGCTGAAAAGCTGGGGGGCGGGGTTGTGCCGGCGAGAGGGAAAAAACAAATTTTTGTACAGATTGTTGGCTTCTAAAATATTTAGATTAAATAAGCCAAATTCCTGAATTGTAGTCGCTCCATGTCTACTGATCCACTTTTTACCATGCCTCTCAGGAGGAAAATCCTTGCTCAACCACTTTGATAAAGAAAATATACATAACTGTAGAAAATAAAGTACTGTATCAAACTAAAGTTACCTATAGAATGTTCATCATTATATATCAAAGACAATTATAATATTTATTATTTTTTCAAAGGGCAAATTTCATTTATTAATTGATTGATTAATTAGTTAATAGAGAAATTATTGTTGCCAAAAATAGTTGTGATTTTTTATGGATACATTTGGGCAGTCTTTATTTTGAGTCTAGTATATTTTTAATTCAAGTTAAATTATGGTGTAATATATGCCAAGTTTAATTAAAGTATCAAATTCTTTTGAAATCTGGTTATTTCGATTTTTATTTCAACCTATGAATGATCCATTATTACCAGATTGTTATTGTTTTGTTCATATAAATATACATTTTGTTTTTATTATTATTTTTTTAGCATTATTATTAGTATTTTTTGGGTTATTTATTACCAGCACAGAAATTACAAGACAACACAACTTCTTCAGTAGACACACATTTTCTTTATTCGTTCATCCCTAAAACGTGGCAGATTGGTTGTGATGCTCTTTCAAAACAGAGGGTTTGGTTCGCTGACTGAATTACCTGTATATTTACATTAATACTTCTTAGGTTTTTAATTGTATATATGATATCACTTTATAAATTGATCACATAAATTATTTCAAGGATTTGACAATAGGAATAGTTAGGGGAATCACATTAATTTACAGTAGAGAATCTGTAAAAAACCTGTACTTACACAGTGCAGTCCATTTAAGAATTTTAAAAAAATGTACTTGTTTCCTAGCACCTGATGATTGAGGAAGTACCTCATGAAACAGCCTGTAGTGCAATAAAATGTTGAATTTGTAACCAAGCGTCATCTTGTTTTGATTTTATATTGCTCTGCTTATGTATTGAGCACTGTTGTCTAGATGATCTGCTTTCAACCTAATATATATATATATATATATATATATATATACACACCTTTTTTGTAGATTTCTTATAATATTCATTTATGTATAGATATACACAAGTATAAGTATTGGGGCTCTGAATTTTCTGTTACATAAATATCTATGATGTAATTAACACTACATGCCTTATTCAATAAGAAGTTGTACTGATGAGGTTGGTTTGATGCGTGCAGCTGATGTCATGTGTAGCCTCCACAATTCTATTCATTTTCATGTATCATTTTTTTGATTGTATAGTAGTTGTCGTTCTTTTTGTTTTCTGTATTATATAACTGTTAAATTTCTCAAGATAATAATGGTTTTTCATAGATTCACTTCATTTTAATGGATTTGTAATAGTGTACAGAATGGCTCCCTCTAGAGTCCAAAGTTTGCAGTTACGTTGTCACAGGGTCCAAATGTTCATGAAATAGTTGAACTTTTCATGTTGTCAGTGTTAAGCAATAACATTGTAGCTGTGCATTGCATCACAGCAGGCATACCACAGAACAGTCTTCTTGTTGACTTGACTCGCACTCAATTATCACATGATCATTTGGAACTGTGATTTAAATCCCTGTCCACACTGTCAAATTTCATTTGATAAAAACATTCAACATGCCTACATACATGCTACCACAAGGTATACTTATACCGGATTCACATGACAAAAAGAATGTTTCATGTGTCCCCGTTCTAGGGAAAATTTAGCACAGGTCCCTTCTACTTTGTGTCCATGTGAAAATCACATCATGGCCACCGTATATAGGCACATCATGACTAAATATGGGCATGCCACAGTTTTTTTTGTCAAAAAAAAATATGATAATTTGGACAGAGCTTGCATTTCAACCATTATTTGGCATGTTATTAAAAAAAAAAGCTATATAAATACATACAGTATGTAATATAATCTCATAGTTTTTAAGGTAAATACTATTGAATACTTATATTAAAGAGATAGGATTTTCAGACAAAATGAAATTAAAAGAGTATTTCCATTAATTTTCTGCCATTGAAGCATTAAATGATTGAAGGCTCCCTGATTGTTTTACACTTTACTGTACATAATTTCCAGGGAAGTATAAATACCTCTGTTAATGCTATATAAATTTTGATAGTCTACATGATGCGATTGAAGATTTCTATATTCTTTAACATGACCAATGAAATTGCAATGTCATGCTTAGGTCAAGTAAAAATGATGTTCATTTCTTTGCCTGCCTGCATCCAGCTTTTTCTGCTGCAACATTTGTTTCTTTATTAATTTTTTTTTTTTCAGAATTACAATTCTTAGAATTGCATATTGTGAATAGTGGTGGTTTTCATACTCTATTTTGTCCTAGGTGTAGATCAGGTCTTGTGTTACAACAATGATTCTAAAGAGCTGATGGCCTTAAGGTGGGCATTCAGTGTATCGTACGACGGTCATACAACCACTGGCCAACAAATCCAACTCTGTTTCGGTCATTAAAAAAAACTATCTGTTGTGCGCATTTCATGGTGGTGCGTTGTCCATACAATTACGTCGGCCGACAACTGTCGGGTGCTTAAAAGAAGGCCTCCTCCCTGTTTTCAAGAATTTTAGATCAAAAGTAATCTTGTTCACCCTGTATAAATATTACATTTTCTATATTTGTTGAAGATAATTATTTTGGCATTCTGTATATTGGAACGATTTTTGTTGTTGGAAGGTTTGCCATATTTATCTTCAGTAAATCCTTCAATATATCTTTAATGTAATATTCTGTCCACACTGAGTTTTTTTGTGACAAGTGCCTTTATTTGGGCCAATCACAGAAATCCTGAGTGTGGACAGTTTTCAAAACCTATGTTTCACCCCTGCATCTTTCTGCAGCATGTTGACAATCTTTGTAATTATCAAATCAAAGTTAATATACAGTAGTACTCCTCACCCAACTTTAGTGATGATTTTTATAATATGGCTGGGCTTGAGTTATTTCATTATCATCAAATATTCAGAACTTTGTTTTTTGATTTATTTTTTTGTTTTTACCTTGATGTATTATAATGATAAATAAAATGAACATTTATGATAATAAAAAATAGTTTATTGTTGTATTTATTGAGTTAAGTGTGGACAGAAACCACATTTCACAATTGTCATTTTGGGCAAATAAATACACTTGCATCAAATTCTAACAAGAACACTAAAACATGAATCATGTTTATCTCGATAAACTGCATAGGCAGTGCACCCTCTAGACTTGCTTCAAGTATTTTATCTTTTTTACAGCGAGACCGGTGAGCGAAGAGAGTGATTCTGAAATTGGTAGGATTATGGCAATCAAAAATAAACCAAGGTTTACTTTGCTGGTGGTACCCTTTGGGCTGTTCTGATTTACAAGAAATAATGGTATAGAATCTACTTGGCTAGCTTTAGTCGAAAGCGCGAGTTCATGCGCATTCACATTTCTATCAGAGTTTTTAATGAAAAAATGCACCACTAATCAGATCTCAGGATGACAACCGATGCTTTTGATTCGCACAAATAAATTTGTCTAGTGGAATACAGGCACGAGTCAACTTTGCCTAACTTATTTTACATGCCAAATTGTTGTGTTTTCCATTCATTAACGAAAAATAATTTTCAATGCCATTTTAGATTCGACTTTGGCATGTTCAACTGTAGTTCTTCTACAGTGTCCAAATACAACTGTAGTGGGAAACATTATACTTGTGAATATAGTAATTATACATTCTACTGAGTAAGCATAGATGTAATTGCTTGCCTGTGTATTGCTTGTAGTCATGGAGAGCATTTTCAATAGACATGAGATAAATTATTTGAGCGTGAACCAATCAAAAAATAGGGAAGATGGTGAATGCGTTAAATCAGTGATGAAGTAATAATCAGATTGCATATACTCATTATCTTCTTCACACTCAATGGTTATACCCTGGTTATACTGAAGTGATTAATGTGTTTGTACTGTATTCTCACATCTCAACTTTGCAAGGAAATATGCAAATTAGTCTAGTCTACATGATGCTTCCAAGAAATCAAATACAGTACACAAATACCACACACTACATGAACCACAACACATGAAAGAAGCCTGGCCCTATAGATTCATAATATATTTATTAGGGTTTGAATAAAAAACAGTACATTACCACATTTGGAACACTCCCATAAAGTGTTGTGACCTTGACCAAGATAACTACTTCCTAGAACAATAATTCATTAGTATCATCTGGCCTGATTAACATGTAATTGGTGTTCAAATTAAATTAAATGTATAGAAGCGCAATTCACTTCTATTTTTTGCTAAAAAAAATACCAACACCTCTAAATATGGATGTTCAATATCACTTGTGGAGATCTTTGAAACAATATCCAAAAGGCTGGGCTTAGTTGAAAGGTACTTTGAACCACAGCCTTATGGTTAAATTAAATTAATTGGTGCATTAATTGCTCCCATGAAACATGAATTTCGTTTGGGGATTCAGCCCTTTGCTTGTGTCCCTAGACAAGGTGGTCACACTCCCAATTCCCCAACCCTGCTCACCAGCAGTGTACCTGATAGTTTCAAACATCAATGCATCGTAATGGAATTTATCATCAGTGGCACAGAAAGTAAATATGTACATTATAAGTCTAACATTATAATACGGTGGTTGTCATAATTTTCGTGTCCATATTCTGCTGTAATTTAATACCTACTTTAACTATAGCAAAAATATACAAATATTAAATTCTATCGAAATAAAAAGACTAAAGGCTATCAAAATTCACCACCACAATTTATGTCAAAAACCTGCTCCAAAAAAAGCAAGTATTTTATCAAACTCAGTTCTGCCTAAACAACTACAAAAAAAACCAAACAATTCTGGTTATCATTTAATGGAACTGTATATTGCTTCTTTGTTTTGCACATCAAATATGGAATATGTTTTACTGGAAGTTAGATGTTTTAATAAATAATTGAACTGGCGAAAATGAATAAATCATGAGTAAGTGGAAGTAAATTTAGTGGTTCCGAAAATTCAAGTTAAGATTTTGTTGAAGCATGGAGAATGGGAAATAATGCCATGGTTTAAGCACATGGAAAATAAGTAATATTAATTTTAAACTATACCAGGGAGGTATAAAATACCTCCCTGACTATACAATAAATCACAGAAGAGCAAAGTTGGGCCAGCAAAAATATATTAAAGACCCTGTGTGTGTTGCCCACCCACCAATTTTATGCTTTCCCCTGTCGTAGATTTTGTATATGTGTATAGCATCTATGGCTACACCAAAGCAGATATTAAAAATTTATTCATTCATTATTTCTAGTTGTCATATTCAATCAAACTGTCTACTAAACAATAGAATTATTCACATCAAAAACTCTTATTATTAATGAATATATAATGCTGTTATAATTTTGAATAATGATATCTATAATAAATCAATTTCGTTGGTGGATTAGTATTGTTGCTATAGTGATGACTGCAGTCATTTTCGGTGAGATTTGATGAAGTTGATCAGACTGTTGGTGGAAGCATCATGGGAAGTCACAGGGTCAGAACCTTTCAACTCTGGTTGGATAATCTTGGCCAGCTGCTTGCCAAGCTCAACACTAAAGTAGAAAAGGAAGTTACATATTTAAAGTCACTGAAGATTTTGATATATATTGTTTTTCCATCTAATGTCTTTAATTCAATATTTTGTGACATGTATAATTTTAAATAGTTTTTTTTTTTAATATACTGCAATATAATTTCATTAAATTTTCTGTACCTAGAATGGTATTAGCTGTCTCTTATACACATCTAGATGTGTATAAGAGACAGGGGGTGGGGGGGGTCTGGTTAGATTTTGCTGCGCATGCTGATAGCCATCAGCACTGACTTCCGCGAGACAATTCATAATACAGTAATAAAAGCATGCAAATTTGCGGGAGATGGTTTTTTTTTTTTCTGGGAGATTCTTGCCCGAGTGTGGGAGGCTGTCACGATACCCAGGAGACTCGCGCTGGAGACATGGGACCCCAGCATTCATTTGAAAGTAATGAAAAGATATTAAGAAGAACTGATGCTGGATTTAGAAACATAAAGCAATTTTGTCGTCATTTTGATGTAACATACTGGAATGGAAATTTGGGGGACATCATGCAGCCCAGGGGTAAGGAAATTATGTGGTGTGATAATATTAAACAAAGGTTAGGAGTATGAGAATCATAAAACAATGAGAATGAACCAGATTCTTGTGAAAAATCCAGCTTTTATATCAAAGATTATGATGACGATGATGCAAATTAAATTCTACATGAGAATTTTTTTATACCCTGTTTAGCGAACCCGTCGCCTGCTAATTACGATAATTTCGAATAAAATATAATTTTATTTTTGGCCAAATAGCTAAATACATAATTTTATTTTTATTTTTTCCGCCCTCTTACAATACTTTAAAAAATAAGTTTGCAAAACAAGGTATAAAAACTGAAAATGAAAATTAAATCAGCACTGCTTTTGGTTGTCACTGAGACACCCAGATAAACTGACTATTGTCATTGTTCCTTTTAAAAGAAAACTCTACAATATAATAAAAAAGCACATATGATGCTGATCATATGTTGCCCTGGGATGGACTGTTCCATTATTTTTAGGTGTGTATTATTAAAAGAACAATAGTGATATTTAGTTTATCCAGGTAAACATACACAAAGCAGACTGTAATAAATAGAGTAATGCACTTCCTTACCCCCACTGGTCATATGAGTTGATATTCCATACAACCCCCTGTGTGAATATCTTATGTTCATACATAACAATGAGAAGTCCAAGTGTGAATGGGGTCAACTTCTGGAACATGATGGAGTTGGTGGGTCTATTTCCCTCAAATACCTGCAACAGACCGAAATAAAAGTTAATGAAATAAAAACAGATAGTAATTAAGTAAATATCAGTATACTTTATTTTGTGGGAGTACCATTACTGTAAAAAATATCTTTCCAGCAAAAGAAATGATTTTAAGCTGTTCATTTTATTTTTCCACTATGGCTGGGTGCTGGACGTTTTATAGATTATGTATTTTTAGACATTTATTTCATTTAATAAGATTCTGCTAACTTTGCTGTCATTACCACTGTGTGCACTTTTAAGAATCCAGTGCATATGTTGGAAGAGTAGGGGTTATCCGGTGCTCTGTTACACTTCAGATCCTGTTGTTGTGCAAGGATGAGATTAGGGAGCTTTCGGATTGCATGACGACAATAGGACGTAGAACGTAATGACGTCACTAAAAGTTATCTGCGCATGCGAGAAAGTTAGTGTCACCTCGTTAAGTAGATTCTGGAACGCAATTTGGCCAAACTTACGTATGCAGTGAATGTAGGACGCCAGGTAGGATGGTCACGCATGAGTGATTCCGTTCTAGTGTCACGACGTTGCACAAATACCTGCAAGCAATGGACCTGTCATGCTAAGCCCCGCCCCTTAGATATTGTTGCCAAAGTAATAGCGTAAAGTATGTAGACATGTGCGTCTGTACGACAAGTAGTGTGTTTGTAGGACACACATATATTCCTGACTTCGTTCTGATTGGTCAGTTGTAAAGTAAGATTGACATTTTGGAAAGGTTCAATCACCACAATGAAGCTACAAGTTACAGGTTAATTGCATGCCTTTAATACCTTTTCAGCTTAGACAAGACTTTTTTAATACCTTGTTTCATGAACTTATGTTTTTATGTTTATTATTATTATGTTGTTAAAGATCATTAGAGGGTGGAAAAAATGAAAATAAATTTTTGTTTTCTTCTTTAGCAAATAGTTTTACCAAAAACATCAAGACAGAGGAGAAAAATCAAATTTTATTGGTGAATTTAAACAGTGTAGTAATGGATGGTTAAATGCTTTCAATTTATATAATTAGGAAGAAATATTTTCAAGGCAGCAGCGGACGTAATAAAAATAAAGATAAACTTTTATTTTTTTCTGAAATTTACATTTTTTCCATGGCATCAGGTACGTTAAATGAACAAATATAAAATATTATTTTTATTTCAAATCATCATTACTGACGAGCTGTGGGTTTGCTGAACAAGGTACAAAGTAAAGTGTCGCCTTACCTTGTGTGGTAGTATGTGGTTGATCTTGTCCTCCGGCATGTTTGCAGCCTTTAGTTCTGCTAATGCTTCTTCCTTTGACTTGCCCTTCATCAGTGCTTCTGTCTGAGCTAAGAAGTTAGCAAGCAAGATCTGAACATGGAAAAAGGAGAAATTTTCAATATCAACCATATATCCAAATAATAACTAATACAAACATAGTGATAAATTACAAGAAGGTGTAAATTAGCAGCACTACATATACGTGTATTGTATTATGGTTGGGAGGTGGTTTCTAGAGTCCTAATTGGACTTTCTCATCAGATTTTTCACATAATTTATTTTATTTCTCCACACTGAAATAAGAGAAAGTGAAGCATCTTACTTCATGATGTACACCTCCACTGATTGGGTTGTGAGTCTCCACGGGTGCTATGAAATCAGCTGGAATCAAACGTGTTCCTTCAAAGAAATGAACATAAGAACAATTTGAGCACAACTATATTTAAAATGCTTATAACCTTCACATAATTGATGCTTATATGTTCATTGAATCTGCCACCCACAACTGGCTTAACCCCATTTCCTTATTGGATCAAAACTTCCCAAATATAAATGTTTTCCAACCAGATAATTTTTTAACTAAGTGGAAGGGACCCCATGTATATTTGTTTAAAAGCAGTTACACTGGATTATCTATTTACTTCATAATATAATTGAGTAGCCTTTTTATTGAAGTTGATGAAGGGGACCACGTTTTGATTGTAGCATGATTTTCTGTACATTCTGGCTCATAAGTATGAAAAAAAAATAAATAAAAAAGCAGATAATGAAAAATACTTCTATAATCTATAATTAATACTGGTGGTATTGATAATATAACAATAGGGCTATGTTCTCACACGGCTGCTAACGGTTAGCAGGATCCGGATCCTGCTAACCGTTAGCTGCCGTCCGTCCCTCCAAGAAAATCCTGATCCGATACCAAAAATATGATGATCGAATCACTGGCCAATAAGAAACTAGAAATTGTAAACGCGTACGTGTGATTGGTTGATGATAGAAACACGCTCAACTTGCTAACCGATAGCGCTTGCTAACCGGTATCAAGATACTGCTAACGGTTAGCACTAACTGATCGGGCGTTCTCGCACAGGTGCTAACAGTTAGCGCTAACGGTTAGCTCCCGATCCGGATACTAGGGCTCTCGTGAGAACCAGACTTAAGTGTACTATGTGATACCTTGGTGGATCAACTGGTAAAATGCATGTTGTCCATTGGTGCCTGGTTCACCCCACACTATTGGACCGGTGGTGTAGTCTGCACGGTTCCCATCCTTTGTCACATACTTCCCATTTGATTCCATGTCTCCTTGTTGAAAGTATGCAGCGAACCGATGCAAGTACTGTAAAGTAAAATAATACATTTTGTAATAATATACTATTACCAATGGTATTAGTATAACAATAACAACAATAATATAAAAAATAATTGGATCAATAATATAATATTATACAATATAAATGAGAAGTAATATTAGTGAATTTCTATGCTCTCTCAGAACAATAAAGGTGACTGATTGATAATTGGATCAATAATATATTATTTTACAATATAAATGAGAAGTAATAAGTGAATATCTATGCTCTCTCAGAAAAATAAAGATGACTGATGATTGATTGATTGACTGATTGGACTGTTTTAATCTATTTTCTCATACAGAAGCAAACTTACTTATAAAATAACTTACTTGACCCTTTTAAATATTATAAGGAATTCAATGTTTTCATTACGTACTTGATGTTTTTTCTTTTATAAAAGAAAGTACACATTTAAAAACTTTTAAATAAATTCGAACAAAAAAGTACTTTTGATACCTGATCATAGGGTAAAAGTGCATGAGTTTCTGCACCGAAGAAGTTATGATACCACACTCCAAGCATGCCAAGGATTACTGGAATGTTGTTCTCAAGTGGTGTCTTACGGAAGTGATTATCCATGAAATGTGCACCCTCTAGCAGTGATTCAAAGTTGTCCATTCCAATATAGAGGGCAATGGACATGCCAATAGCCGACCACAGGGAATAACGACCACCAACCCACTACAAAGAAAATGTATGGTTTCTGAGTGAACTACCTAATGAATTAAAAATTAGCTTTCAAAATATGCCGTCATATTCATTTCAAAACAATATTACTACATAAATGTACTTCATTGACTCTTCTCTTGCTTGGTATATATACTGTCTCTTATACACATCTAGATGTGTATAAGAGACAGATGTAGTCATATTTAAACTGTACCACTTTGAAAATCAGTGCAATAGTACTGAAAGTGCCTACAGTATAAAGAAAGAATAAATAAAAGATGATTGTCTTAAAAGAAATAAAATACATTTTCAAAGGTTAAGTAAAATATAGGAACAACAGTTAAAAAAATTATTTACTTACATCCCAAAAACCGAACATGTTGTTTTCATCAATTCCAAATTCTGTAACTTTGACCTGAAATAAAGTTACAAAGATAACATAATACTTTAGTGACAACAAGGCCAGAAAGTTCAATATATAATATTACACATGGTATATCATTAACGTTCACCGGTAGTTACAACATACTGTGATAGAAGGTTTCAAATACCAGTGAAAGCCACAATCTTATTTTACTGAAAGTTTAAAAATTAAATTTAAAAAAAACCTACAAATAGAATAGAGTCTGCACCACACAGATATCAAACACCACTTACTGCATTTGTGGATAGAGCAATGAAGTGCTTAGCAACAGCAGACTTGTCTTGAGCAAATGTCAACAGCCAATCACGAGCGGAGGTTGCATTTGTTATGGTTTCCAAAGTTGTAAATGTCTGAAGAATATAAAATATTAAGAAATTTATTAAAAATTATATAATTTCTGTAACAAATAATAAGTGCTGAAGTGACAAAATAATATTTTATCCTTATAAAATCATTTTAATTTTTCCGTAAATTATTTGAATATGTAAATAAGATAAAGAGATGTTATAAATTGGAAAAAGAATGGATCTGCAGCTTGGTGGTTTGCCTTACAATCCACAGTGCTTGGTTCAAATCCTATTAAAAAAAAAAGGAAAAAAAAGAAAGATTTCTTCTCATGACTATAAATAGGCTCCAGATAGGAGCATGAGTTTACTGCAGACCTAGGTCAAAATTACTCTTATCGGACATGGCGCTGTCAGCTATTGGTCATCTGTCAATACACACTGTACTTGGCATGCCTGTCAAATGAAATGAACTAAAGTGAACCTTAATACATTGCAATTCACACAGGAATTTCACTTCCACAGCATAGAGAATATCTGCGCAAGCGCAGTAAACAAAACAAAAAACAAAAAAAAAACAGCTCCACTCAAAGTTTCATATTGAGATGTTCATATTAAGAATACTTGGTCCTGTTGGAGATCAGTAGTTAACTACTGAACAGGTAATCCAATAAATATAAGATTTTGAAAGATATTGTTTATCACATTATTTGTTAATCTGCTATTCTTTATAATATTGTACATTAAAGTAACCTTTATCATGATTTCGGTATGGCCTTGTTCTTGACAATTTATACACTGTTGTATTGTTGAGAAAACTTGAGTCTTTTATATTTGGTGAGAGAGAAATAAACAGAATTTACCTTTGAGGCAACAATGAAAAGTGTAGTCTCAGCGTCTAGCTTCTTTAAAGTAGTGGCAAGGTGTGTTCCATCAATGTTGGATACAAAGTGTACCTTCAGGTGTCCTCCATATGGCTTCAAGGCCTCGGTCACCATCAGTGGACCCTACAGGGAAAAGAGACATTGAACTATTCAACTACCGGTACATAATATATAATGTAGTTATTCTGAATTTGCTGTTTATCATTGCCTGTTCCTTTGTTGTGCCTTGCAGCAGTAGATAAAATATCACCTTTAAAATGTTTTTTTTTGTATTATTAATATTGCTACAATTATAATAATTATGTTTTTCAATTTCAATATAACTATAATCATTGCAATTTTTATCATTATTATAATTACCAGTATTTTTTATTTTATTTATATATTTATTTGAACCATATTTAATGAGGCTGAACCAACCAGCAGAAGCTGATTATTCAGAACCCTCCATATTTTTTTTAATTAACATAATTATTATATTACCAATTTTATAATTATTATATTTTAAATAATTACTATTATAATTTTTACTCATAATCAATAATATTATGATTATATTGCTTATATTCATGTTAGGTTAATGAATCTTCCGAATCCTATCTTTTATGTACAAACAGCTTTCATGTTCTTAGGAGTGATGTTTGCCCTTATCATACTGAATATTCAGTATGTTCCCAAATACTTCAGAAAAAAAAACCTCGCAAGTGACTTGGGTGGGAATCGAACCACGATACCCAGATAACTTCCCTAGTGTCATAAGCACTTGGCCACTGAGCTTGCGCTTAGTGGCTAGTGTTACATCAGATCCAAAGGTATCAGCTGTTCTTGCAATGATATTTGTCACGTTTTACTTACCAAATCTGACCCGCCAATGCCTATGTTGACAACATCAGTTATAGCTTTCCCTGTGAAACCTTTCCAGTCTCCACTCCGTACCGACTAAAATTAATATTTGCAAACAATATTTCTTAATATTTCCAATAAGACATATATGAAGGCTGATTGATACTGTAGTACGAAATATTTTATACTGATAAGTAATTAAAAAATATTTAAATATTCTACATTTTAACCGTACCAACAAGAATGAATAAATGAAATAGGAATTAAAGTCAAGCTCTGGAGGAAAACAAAGTTTTGATATGTTGTACTGATTTTTTTTTCTTTTTCGGGGGGAGGGAGGAGTGGTTAACGGCCCTTTTTTCCCCAGCTTTTAAGTATTAAAAAATCTGAATCTCGTTAACTGTTCCCAAGTTTTTCCTCAAAAATGCTATTTGTGTATTAGAAAAAAATCAGTTCTACAACAATTTTGTTTTCCTCCGGAGCATGGCTTTCAGCAATTTCAAAAGAGACCCAATTTTAAATGGTCAGTTAAATTTGACACTCCGGAATGTTACATTGTTAGGGCCCTCAGCTCAGTATTATTATAATTACCCTACCTCAGTAAATCCTTTCATTTTCGCAAGTACAGCATTCACATCAGGCATGACGTCCTTGTTATCCACCATGATGGGTGCATTTGATCGGTTACGCAATGCCGTGTGCAGCACGGCACGATTCTCAGTGAAGTTGATCTTCTCGCCACTGAACATTCTGTCCCTTGCCTGCTCAACACCTCTTGAGCGGGCCTAAAAAAGCAGTTAAAGCAATGTAAATAGAACATAATATGAAAAGAAAGTAAAACTTTTAAAAATAAACAAAAACATGTTTTATACCAATATAAATGTAGGACTGTTTAACCAATAGGGAGCTTTCGATTTGTGCAACGACGCGACGCTAGAAAGAAATCACTCATGCGTGACCGTCCTACCTAGCGTCCTAGGTTCTCTGCGTACGTAGATTTGGCCAAATTGCGTTCCAGAAACTACTTGACGTGGTGACCTTAACGTTCTCGCATGCGCAGATGACTTTTAGTGACGTCATTACGTTCTACGTCCTACTGTTGTCATGCAATCGAAAACTCCCTATTAATAAACCAAGCACAGTGGTGTTAACTTACTGCGAGCATTCTTTGATGATATCAACATCACATCGATGAAAGCTCACAGTAAGTTAACATCCATTGTTAGGTGATCTTGTGTCATTCAAGTTGCAAGCTTACAGTAGTAGACATAAAATTTTATTTTACTTGATGATTTAATGAACTGATAGTGAAGATGATGATTATAATACTAATGATGATGATGATGATGATAATGATTGATGATGATGATGAAATGAATGATGACGATAAGATGTTGATGACAAACACCTGCTGTGGATTTGGTGGAACAAGAAAGCTGTTACTCTTACTAAGCTGATGAGCTTATTAAAGATGTCGTCGTCAATAATGTTCTTGGAGAAATCTAACAAGAAATCACCATCCTTCGTTGGAACTGTTCGGCTGTGAACAAAAAAAATATCACACATTAATTTTCCTTGCAAGTTTAGTGTTCAAAGTGTATGAGTTTACAATAATGCAGTTTAGTTTGGATAAATGCAATCAAGGCCTACAAACAACATGAACATACATAATGTAATGTAGATTTTACCAAGGAGGTACTATAAAAACCTCTATTTCCACACAGTCTGAGCTTTAGGCCAAATAAAAAAAAAATTGTCTTGGCCACGCCCGACCGTCCCAAATTGTATGAAAGTGAGGTATGGCATTTTGTTTGTTTGTTTTTTTTTTTGACTACAACGAAAAATATTTTTTAATGCGAGCTAAAAAGGCTGGAATAGACCTATCTTGCTGGACGATAGGTGATGCAACAGTGTTATGCGATTGTTTTGCTCTTCAATATAGATTAAAAAATTGGTCTTTTTTAGGCATAAACACATTATTGGTACAAAAAAAAAAAAAAAAAATCCTACCGACCTAGGTCTACCCATTTTTTAGATTTTCCCAAAACGGGGCCAACACAAGAAATTTTTTTTTGGCCTTCAGCTAATAACATCATGGAAGCAGAGACAACTGTATTTATTGTATAAATAATTTATATGAGAAATATCATAAGCAGTAACATTTATACTAAACAATGCAAACATGTAATATGTAATAAGTGTATGAGGAAGTTAATATAACAAAACACTGACAAAGCGTAAAAAATGCCTTGTCATCCTATCCAGAACCGCAACACCGGCACTCTCTCTGGTCTAGCCTGTTGAAGATACCATTAATATTTATTTTACGCTATTTTGTTCAGTTTCGGCTTACTATATAGGAAAAAGGCAAATAACATAATTTTAGTGGTTGCATAAGTAAAATAAAAAATACGATTTAATAAAAAATCTTTAATTTTAAAGGCCAGTTCCAACATACACCACACCTCCCCTTCTCTCCTTTTTTTACTTGCCAAGCCTACCTGAATTTCTCAAAACGCCCTGCATCACCCTTGAATAAATCTGACATGCACATTTTTGATCCATTTTTAGAATAGGCTTCTTGCAATGCTTTCCAGTCAGCATTCAACTTTAAGCTGGATTCTGTCATTTTGGAACCGAATATTACCAACAAGTTTAAAGCCACAAAAACTCTGCTGCAGCACCAAGAAGTACTTCCCTGGTAAATAAAAAAGTTGATGCTGTTTGAACTTTAGCCATTGACCTTTCCTTTTCCAAATATGGATAAAATACGTAGAGATGTTCCGGGTTACATTTTGTGTATCTATTATCTGTCGCTCGATCGTCGTCGTGTATCATTTCTCTGCTCTACCAACATACCCACGCTGCTGCTCTTGAAATTGATTGCTTTTACTAGACAGTAATTTGACGCCTAAGCATCCAATTCTTCCTGCAAATTTAGACAGACATGTAGCAAGCCGAGTTTATTTTTACCAGCACTGCACGGTGAGTATGCTATGATGAATGTGTTTGGTGGAAGAAGGTATACTTTCTCGATGTGCAGGCCATCTCGCTCGCACACAGAGCGCCAGCACAGCCACAGAGGGCCGCGGCTGTGTGTGTGAATGTTTGTAATTGTTGCCTATCAAGCTGCCGATTGGCCTAAATAGACCCTGGCCTGAGCTCATTGAGTGGACACTTATTTAGCTATATGTTGTATAAATATGGCTGACTTAATGTTTCAATTCCATATCAAGCCTAGCAATTAGTCTAGTAGGGCTTGAGGTGTACAAAATTACAACATCATACAAATATGGGCCTAGGCCTAGGCCTATGAATGAATTTAGGCTAGGCCTAGGCCTAGATTAGGTGGTCTAGGGCAGGCCTAGAGGCCTATCTAGGGGCCTACTCTATCCTGTTTAAGTTGATTTGACTTGATAGACGAGGCATAGGCCTATATACAGACTGCTTCTTCCTACCGCCTACACAGTAGCCTAGGCTTATGCCAGACTATATAGTAGCAAGGCCTGCGCAAGGAATGTATCCTCCGTGCAAACATTTGGCCTAGAAATCCTTCCGCACATTTTGGAAAAAAGGGGCCGAAAATTGGGCTTTGACCAAATCTTGATATTAAATCGATGCAATTTTGCAGCAATTACTATTTCGTGCACCTATTTTCCTAGCGATTTCCCAAGCAAATTTCAGAAGATTTTTTTAGATATCCTTTGAGCAAATAGAAAACTTTGCAATATAGGGCCTATACGTTTTTCTTCCCACTTGTGCCTTCTGTATTTTTCTCTCTTTGTTTCTGTTTTTTTCTTTTGGTTTTTCTGCCCTTCTCATAGCATTTCGCTGCTGAAGAGAACGTTTAGTATACTGTAAAATAAAATAAAAATTGCACATTTAACCTTCAATGAAGTTTAAAGTTTTGAAGTTATATTATTATTAAATCCGTTGTTCTGTTGAATATGTTTTAGAGTGCATCTTCAAACAGCAGCAAGATGTCAAATTTCAAGAAGCACTTTGGTCAAACCAACAGTCGAAATGAGGTCAGCATTGGGCATGAGAGCAAGTCTCGTTTCCATTGCAGTCTGCCGAACAGTTACAAGGCTCATCTAGAGGAAGTGCAGCACCACAGCATGGCCTGCCTGCAGGCTATGAGGGGCCTATGCCAGTCAGCCAATGATATGGCAGAGGGCTTCACCACACTTTTTCAAGACACTCCGTTCTGTGAAGTCGCTACCAACCTCCAGCACATCTCACAGGAGTTAGCCAGTACAACTGGAGAGGTCTGCCAACATGTGAATGATAATGTGAACTTGCAGACTTCAAGGTTGATCAATCGTGGCTTGAAGGAGAAGACAGATGAAAGTATGCAGGTAATAGATATTTGTTTATATCATGCATTCATATTTATCAAAACATAATATCCTTAGCTGGAGTCACCTAGGGAAGGGTCTGGTTAATGAATTAGAGTGGTGGTAGATGGAGACCTCTTGGAGAATTTGCATTTTTGTTGTGCTAGATTGTCATGACTTTTCGAACATTATGTTTTAATCTGTGCAAAGCACATAGAAACCTTTAGCATTTTGCGCTATAAGTATACTTATTATTATCATTCTACTGACAGAAATGCTTCAATTTATTTAATAACCTCATAACTTAATAATTTTATCATATAATAAGTAAGTTACATAAATGTGATACTTGCTCCTTGAACCATAGAAAAAAAATCTGTTCGTTGGATATAACAAAAGAACTATAAGACAATAAGAAAAAAGTGATGAAAAATAATGTAATAATGTACAACAGTTGTTGTTAGGTATTAATAACAGGATATATTCCAAATCTAATTTCATTTTGTTTTTTTCATTTTGCATTAGCCAAAATAAAAACACAAGTATACAAAATAATTAAGTAAACTTTTTGGCTAGTCGATTGGCCGAGCGGTTAAGACGGGAACCGTGACATACAGCCATAATATCGGTGCTGGTTCGAATGGAACACTCACCTATGGTTCCGGTGGTGGAACAAGTCTTCTCGGATAAGGACTCTAAACTGTAGGTCCAGTGTATACAATTGGCTCGTGTGCACTTTAAAGAACCCAGTACATTATTCGAAAAGAGTAGGGGGTTACCCCGGTGTACTGGTCCATTTGCAGTCCCCTGACTGGCCACAGAAGGAGCGTTTACGTCACGGCCCATGTCAGGTATCCATCCTACCTGCGAATCCTTCTACCACACTACAGTACGTAAGCTAGATCATACACACTAGCTACGTAGTGACTCGATAAGAAGAAGTAAACTTTAACAAAAATGGAGACAATTCAACCCAAGAAAGCTGGGGTAAACTAATGCTCCAACTATCAAGCTTATTTATCTGGAATTGGTTCACTCCACTAGATTGATAGGTGTAATGATGTGACCAACTTATTAGCATTATATACACTGTCAAATTATAATGATAACCTACAGTTGTACTGGAGGTTCCAACTGTTGTTTATTTTTAAACGATTATAAAAAATTAAGCCATGTAAAGATTCAATTAATATAAATACATGTGCATACACAATTATTTCCTACAGATGCAAGTACAAAAGATTTACTGCAATCATAGTCAAATCATTTATTAGAAAACATTTTCTTAAAAACAATTTGGTTAAAGTATGTTCTTCAGATCAATTCTTACATTATTTTGTATTCTATTGAATTTATTTGACCTTTATCAAGAATTGGCTTATTTGTGCTGGTTTGGTACATAATACTCTGATATATTTGCATATATTTTTATGTCACTCAAGAAGATTTGGTTGCTCATAACATCTTGTACGATGGCAATATAATCTGCCATTAATTACTAAATAAAATACAGTAAATAAAAAATATAATTGTTAAATTCATTCTCGAAATCAATATTTATTTTTAACAAGAAATTACATTACACTCATTTTCAGATAAACAAAAAAAAAGATTGTCACAATAGATGTTAATTAATATGGATTTTTTTTACCATCTTTATGAATCAGACATTATAATATCAAAACATACTCTTTCAAGCACCTTGATAATGGTCTTCATTAAATATTATAAATAAAATTGCATTTATTACTATTTTTACAGATGATGATCACTTACCTATCATCATACTGGTCAATGGTTCTACAAGTTTCTTTTTATTTAAAAAAAAATTACTAAATTTAGAAAAATATGGGATTCAAACTATCAACAGAACATACAGTTTTTTTTTTGTTTTTTTTTTTGGAAAAGAAATAATTTCTGTATTGAATTTTTTCCCCACAAAACAGAAAAAGCAATTTGAATGTTAATACTACAGTTTGATTTATTGCCCTGGAGTATTATTTGCAAAGAGTAAACCTGATTTATAGTCTCATGGTTAATTATTAAACTTTGAGCAAAATACTGTTTACGTCATTAAAACCTTCATTAACAAGCATACACCAGATGCACTAATTTTCGTGAACTACCATCAAAACATTTTACATTAATATTTTCATTTATAAATGAGTTTTTTTTTTCATGTTCAGTAGTACATTAATGATTAATGTATACCAGAAATTGATGGTGTATTATTTCAATTACTATAATCTGTTTCCATTTTTTTTTTTAGACTGCTCTGTTTATATATATTTCTGTATAGTTCTTTGTTATGCTTTCTATTAATTCAATTAAATCTGTATTTTTAAGCCCATCACATAATCATTCTACACCCACACTTCATTTTATCTGTATGCACTACCTTCAGGCGATACATAAAGAATGCACATGTATATTTGTTCTATCGAAGACCATTTGTGTTTGATTTACTGAATGTTTGGTAATGTACTGTATGTAGAGCTTCATATCTCCAGTTTCTTGTGATAAATCTGCTTCTTTTTCCTCTTCTTCCTTACCATCATCTTTTATTATTTACCATTAATATCAAAAGATCAAACAATACCTTCTATTTCTGTTAATGTTGCTACAAGTATCTCATTTTTTATTCTTTGCACTGAAAGTAAGAAGCTGGCAGACGTTGTTAATACTACAACTGCATACTGTTAGTAATTATTAACAGTCGCTTTAGCATCAGTACAAAGCATATGCCAGCTCTTTATTTTCAATGAAAAAACAAAGCAATATTTGACACTTGCCAATGATGGATGTGTTTGATGCTAGCATTTGGTGTCATGTTGTGTGCTAGTTTTGCTACCTATTCCATTACTGCTTCCTTAAGTAATTTGCACAGTGCATTTGTGAGCCGTTGTCATTGAGCCTCGACTAAGATTGGACTTTAGATTGAGCGACTGATTTTTTTCATGGATGAGGCAGTTTTTGCAGGAAAACCAATTGTTTTACATTTTATTTTAATAGAATCATCTGTCTCAGGCATTATGCTTTCTGGTTGCAGTTAACTTCTGTAATGATATAAACATGAATGCTGCATTAATTATTATGCAATGTGACTTTCATTAAATCAATTTTGCTGAGGAAAATCCAACAATCCATCTTTCATCCTCTTTCATCTTTTTCTGTAGTTATTTTCCATCTTAGACTTTGACCCATTATCCTCTCTCTATCACCAAGTTTTCATTATTCCTTACACTTCATCCTTTTCCCATGTCTTTTTTCTTATCTCCTTCCTTGCATCCTATCTCCATTTTTTTTCTCATCATCCTCCTGCTATTAATAAAGCTGTAAAATTTTCCATTATCTTTTTTGCTAAACTTGAAAGAAAATATTTAGCAAAATTCAGCTTACAGTATAAGGATTTGGCTATTTGGCTAATGACAGCTTAATCATTGTCTCCCATCCCTCCCACCCCTTGAAAAATCCATCTGGAATTCAGTTGGCCATAGCGCCAAATTCCCTGCCCAGTAGACACTTTGTTGCTGTCTGGAGGTGACGGGTAGATCCAATAAGGAGAACGCCTATTTTGCCAAATTGATTCATTAAAAAATTTCAGACTTACATTCATTATTGCCATGTATTGAAATAAGACAAACTAGAAGCAAATACGTGCCCCCCTCCCCCGATCGGCTCGTATGTGTGGGATGCAGATTCAGTTTGGATTTAAGTGGTTGAATTGATAAGGGGTCCAAAATTCCTGTAACATCTGTCTTTTGACATGATACTGGATTGTGTGTCTCTGGTAATACCATCAGGCTATATTGGTCAGGAATTTGTACAAGGAAATGGAAATAAGTACATAGTATGACAAATAATTAACATGATTTCAAAACCAGGAAGTGAAGCTTAGTTCTCTACTGAAAGAATTTAATATACTTTTTGCAAGCTAAAATAATAAATTATTATTATTATGATTCTGTTAATTAGTAGCAATTATTAGACATAGGAGTGATGGTTTGCCCTTCCTGACGTGTTTTTTTTTTTGTAATTAGATTCAATATAGTCACTAAGTGTAAGCTCGGTAATCTAGTGGTTACGGTACCAGGCTAGTTATCTGGAGGTTGTGGGTTTGATTCTTACTCGAATCACTTATAATTTTTTGCGCAGGTATTTTGGAGTGTACCGAGTATTCGGTACGATAAAACGTCAGGTAGGGTAAAACATCACTCCTATGATATTTTCCTGACTCAAAGTCGTGTCGGAATATTATTATACATAAGAAGAAGGGGGGGGGGGCTTCAGAAAGTTATAGTGGGTGCGCTCAACAATAAAGTGAGGGGGATAGCAGGCAAAATATGGTAGAATGGTGAGATGATTTTTAACTACTTTTTATTGCTTATTTTTTTTGCTTAAAAAATTTCTACAGGGGTGGGGGAGGGAGGGTGAGCCATATATGCCACTGTTTTTATGATCAGCTACTGTATAAAGCTCTTCATCCATTGACAGTTTGCGCTGTTGTTGATCATATGGACCAGTTTTTAACTATCACTGTACTTTCCTGAACTTAACTTTGTATGCTTATTTGTGTCTCATGCATATTCTCTATGTACTACTCCAACAAGTTATTTGTGCTAATTTTATATTCATGAATTATTAGTAAGGCAAAACTTTTTTTGTACCTAGTTTAGTGATCTTTTATGATCAGAGGAGGGCAGGAAAACTAAAAAAAATTCTAACTGCTTAAGTTAAAGTGTAATTGAGGGCACCCTTCGGCCATTGCTCAGGGTTACATCATGATAGGAGGCACAACAATTTATACCAGGCCCAGCTGCTATAGTTTACTGGGTATTAGCTTACCAGTGGGCCATTTCAAGAGTCAGGATTATACTTTATCCTTGGAACCTCCTTTTCACAAAAGCAACTGATCATTTTTCAAACTGATATAAACTGTCCTACTGTACTGTATACAATAATACTGTATGTGGCAAAGAGAAGCCAAACCAGTCACTTGATGCAACAATTGATTTTTAGTT